AAAAAAAAAAAAAAGTTGATGCAAGCTTCATGTGTTCACCCAGGTTCGAACTGGGATATTCCGTTTGATTTTTTCAAACACTCCGCACCTTAACGCAGACACGACTCCTGTTTCGCCATAGACACATGAAGTTCAAAGGACTGGCAGCTGATAAGACCAATGAGAGTTGAATTCATTCAGATGACGAGGAACGGTGATGAAATCATAACGCTACACAATATGTCAGTTGCCTGGAAGAGTAATTTTAAACGACCCTTCATGTAAAAGTAAACCTGGCATTGCTGATGAGTCGACCCAGGTTCGAACTGAGGACCTTCTGTGTACGACATAATATCCAGTCGAAACAACATGTTAGACAGATGCGATAACCAGCTACGCCATCGACCCATATATAAAAGGCGAGCGTTCCAGTTGAGCATCGATGAAATTTTGGACAAGGGAGCAAAGTAGATCATCCGATAGCCACAGGAGGTCCAAGTCAGAAGTTGGCTGGCGGTGATCCCTGTCAATTCTTCTCTCACCAGGTCTCCGATCTTACAATGTCCAGACCTTGATTGATACTGTAGAATCGGCTGCTGCATCGAACGATAAAAAGATATTTCCGAAAAATTTCCGCTAAGACCCATACAAGGAGTCGACCCAGATTCGAACTGAGATCTTCTGTTTACTGTAGTCGAGTATGCAGACGACATATACGGCATATGAATCAGCAGTTTCCTAGAAGGAGTGAAACAACACTTCAGAAAAATTGCCACTAGAACAGCTCAGGAGTCGACCCAGGTTCGAACTGAGGACCTTCTGTGCACAACAGTTGCTCAATGCCCAGCTATGCCACCGACCCATATACATAAATATAAAATATAAGCTTCATGTGTTCATTGAGCAACGACGAAAGTTTGTACAAAGGAACAAAGAAGATCATCCAATAGCCATAAAAGGTCCAAGAGAGATATTTGGTGGAAGTGGTCGCCGTCAATTCTTCTTCGCCAGGTCTCCGATCTTACAACGCCCATACCTTGATTGATACTGAAAAATTAGTTTCTGCATCGAACGATAAAAATATATTTCCAAAAAGTCTTCGCTGCGGAGCATACGGGTCGACCCAGATTCGAACTAAGATCTTCTGTTTAGTGTAGTCAAGTGTGTAGACGGCAGACAGATGCAAAACCAGCTTCGCTATTGACCCATACATACCTTTCGCCTATGCAGCTTCTTATACGCTGTTATGAAGTGGGCGATATTATCGCACGAGGATGAATGGTGACTCATTCAGATGCAAGGATTGGACATACTGTTCCCATGAAGAAACAAAACGAGAGTCTATTGATACGATATGCTACGTCTGCGCCAACTACCAGATTCGGCTGCTGTGTCGAAGGACAAAAAGATAATCCATCCACACTTCATACGGGTCGACCCAGATTCGAACTGGGATCTTCTGTTTACAATTGTAAGGCTACATAAACAGGCGTACGGTAGACAGATGCGACGCCAGCTTCGCCATCGACCTATACGTACCTTTCACGCATGCACATTCTTATACACTGTTCTGAAGTGAGCGATAACGCACGACGACGAATAGTGATTCGGATGCAAGAATTAGGAAATACCGTTCCCGTGGAGAAACAAAATGAGAGATTGACACGAGATATCTCTAAACTAAGTTAGCTAACCATTAAAGTCGGCTGCTGTATCGATGGAACGATAAAAGAACATTTCCAAAAACTCTTGGTTGGTTTCATCGTCCATGCATGAGTCGACCCAGATTCGAACTGAGGTCTTCTGTTTACAGTTGTAAGGCAACGTTGAACGGTATACAGACGCGACACCGGCTTTGCCATCGACCCGTACATACCCTCCACGCATGTAGCTTCTTATGCGCTATTTCGAAATTGGATGATAACGAGGTTTAGGAGCCTGATTTTAAACGGATTTTGACTTCAAACACTGACACCTGTGGCGCTGCACTGCACTGCTTGAAAGTCTAATCCAAACTTGAAGCTCCTATTGAGAAGGAACATCGAAATAAAAATCAAATACTACATCTAGGAGTGATCAATTACTATTGTCCCCTTAGACAAAAATAGACACAGAAAAGTGGATGATGTGCCCACTCAGGTTCGAACTGAGGTATTCTACTTGGATGTTCGTCAAACACTGTGTACCTTAGACAAACGCGACTCCAGCTTCGCCATAGACACATATCTTTCAAACTGTTGGCGGCTAATAAGACCAATACGAGCTGAATTAATTCAGATAACGAGCGCTGATGAATCGTAGTGCCATAAAAAATATGATTCATCAGTTGTCTGGTGGAAGAAAACAATATGTACTTCAGTTAAAAGAAACCTCGGCTGCGTGGATGAGTCGACCCAGGTTCGAACTGAGGACCTTCTGTGTACATCGGCAAATCAACGATCGTAATGTTAGACAGATGCGATAACCAGCTACGCCATCGACCCATACGAAAAAAGCGAGCCTGTTGCGTTCCAGCTGAGAATCGATGAAAGTTTGGACAAAGGGAAAAAAAAAGAGCGGCAAGTCCCGAGCGTCTAATCACCAAACAGGAGCAATGAAGATCAGCCACAAGTGGTCAGATGGTTGGCGTCGGTGGTCTCCGTCGATTCTTCCTCGCCAGGCTCCGATCTTACAACGCCCGGACCTTAATTGATACTTGAACTTGACGATTTGACGTGTACGAAGCTAGTGATGAGAAAAGACGCCAGGTCAGCTGTGTGGGTCATGGGAACGCTACGATGGCTAAGCTCGTCTGAGGGAAGGACGGGCGATGAAGATAGACGTTGAACACAGCTAGTGGGTAGGGAACATGACGAGAAGTATTGGACAAGACGGCCTCGTCATCGTCGACTGCATCCTTGACGTCGTCAGCGGGCTCTCGCCAAGTCTACAGCACCCCGATCGGATCTAGACACTTCTACCCCGCATTACCCCACACTCGGCTAGTAGTCTCCGTCAGCTGCCCCCATTAGGAACTCGTCTCCGTCCAGTCACTCTTCCTTCCGGTTATTGGAGTGGGGTCTAGGAGGGCGAGAAAGGCCTGTTTCCCACATATATAATCCCCACTACGGGTCTTTCCACGGCCTGAATCCAATCTATCTATCGATCCATCTCTCTCTTCAGTCTCTCGTCTCCTCATCGTCTCGTCTCCTCACCAAGCAGAATGGCCGAAGTCGCATCCACCCCCGCCACAATCGAGATCAACGACGCCATCTTCTGCACACACTTCAAGGAAGTCGTGAGTCTCTCACAGTGTTGTACGTTTGAGCCGCGACATCTAAGCCTCCCATCTTCCCCTACAGTGCACAGAGTGTGATTTCGACGGGAGAGAGGAGAACGATTCGTTCTTTGGGGTGAGCCCCCGTTTATCTCCTCTCCTTACTCATGCCCTTTGTTGACGCCTTCTGCTGCTAGTACGACCCCATTGACCGTGAAGGCATTGAAGCCCCCCCTGCTATTGTGAACAAGGACGGTGTTTATCAGTGTAAAAAGCACGCATCAACTGGTGGGTTCCTTTCTCTATCTTTCGTTCTTTGTCCATTGCTGCCATCGTTGCTTCACACTTGCGGGCATGGCGCATCTACACTATTTTTAGCCGCTGCCCTCGAACCCTCCTCATTTTCTATACACTTCTATGCCTACGCTATCATGCCCCGTTCCTATTCCTCCTTCCCATTCTGCTGGTTCATTCTTTTACCCCGTACTCTCTACTCTTACCCTTTCGCGTTCTTCATACCCATATACTGACACGCTCAACCTCATAGGATGCACCCAATGCTACGGCTGGAAGAAGCAGATCAACCGCGCACGTACAGCTGCGAAGAAGGCCGGGAAGAAGTAGTCCCTCCCCATTCATCGTCGTCGGGGTCAGGGTCGTCTGGGTTACCATCGGGTGGGTCTCGTGAGGAGTCTCGTGTGGGATCGGAAGGAGCATCCGGGGGAGTAATATATGAACGTCACTGGAACGATATGGAGGAGATAGCGAAGGAGAAGAAAGGGAAGGTGAAGAAGTCTATTGTCAGAGAAGCCCAGACGACGGGCGAGGGTGGTGAAGTGTATGAATAGCTAGCCTTTTGTTTAAATCAATCAAATCCATGATTTTCTGGTACAAGTGGGAGTATATGCGCCTTCTAGCTCGTAAGCAGACGAATCACACTGTATCGACCGTCTGAGTCCTTGTTCGTTTTCGTCCCCGAGTCAAGTAGATATGAACAACGCTATAATATAAACACATCTGCCATCTGGATAGCCATTCTTCAAAGATAATCGTAACTAGGTACGAAGTATAGCGAACTTCAGTCTCGGACAATAAACGTAGCCTTTAGGACTCTCAATGCCTTAGTATCCACGCATGTCATACAACAAAAAGGGGAGTAAAAAGCAGAGCCAAGAGCTGAAACGGCTATGAGTCGACCCAGGTTCGAACTGAGGACCTTCTGTGAACTCAAGTACAATGACTAGTAATGTTAGACAGATGCGATAACCATCTATGCCATCGACTCATGTGTGTTTTTACAATAACAGTCCTTTCTATTATTTAGAACTTCCTATTGAAAGTGGTACTGGAAGCCGCGTCGCGTCATAAATAAGTCACGTGCTGGGAATGGCTTTGATTCTAGTAATTTAACCAATTCGGATCAGTAGGCCTTTCAACTTTACTCTTTCACCAGCTGGTACTTACTCGCATGTCGTCCACAACCTCACCTAACGTGACCAATATATGTGGCTCGTGTCGTCAAGCTCCAGGAAATTTACGCTGCACTCGCTGTCGCGATGCCATACCTCCGACTCTATACTGTAGTCAGCGTTGTCAGAAAATGGTGTGCCACTCCCTTCCATTGTCGCATTAATGAGCGACGCGACTAATCCACCTCCTCTCATCTAAGGACTGGCAGTTTCACAAGAAATATTGTGGAAAGTTGGTAGCAGATGTCCCTATTATATGGCGCACCTTTGACACTGCATTGATCCAGGAAAGCGTACAAGTTCACGATGACTCTTCTTGGAACCAAGTCTCCTAAAGTTACGCGCACATTCTTCGTTCCTGCCTGGTGGACCTTCCGAAAGTTACACTACACAATTCAGTAATCCATGGGCCCTTGGCAACAGACCCATCTTCATGATTTCATCTACAATCGACCTCCTGCACATACTTCCTCGCAAGGAAACGCCGCTGAGCAATACGGTGCTCTTGGTGGGCCCGAGAACTACGGACCACTTGGGCAACATGAAGAAGTTTTGAAGATAATGCCACGCTATGAACTGGACCTTCAGGAGGAGGATGAGGGGATACAAATGCCTGGAATGCTACCCATGAGAAGGATTCCCAAGGAGGCGGAGGAAGACGTCAAGTTGAGCGACATTTATGGTGAAGGTGGTCGATTGCGTGACATGCTTAGTCGAACCACTTCTGAGGGCGGTAGGGAATTCTTCCCGCTCATCTATTTATACGACTTTGGAGTGCGTCTCTGCCACTGTATCTTGAGATACTCCATTCTGACCTTGTCTTTCTACCTAGGATAACTGGGAACACGAGCTGATTTTTGAAGGCGAGGCCCTCGCGACCGCAGCAAGGCCCGTTTTCATTTCTGCCATAGGTTTCTCTAGTTTCCTTACCGGCACGAACCATGATTCTGATTCAGTACTTCATAGGTTGCGGACCAGTGGAAGATAGCGGCGGAACGACGGGATGGGAGACTGTCAAGTCGGCCTTCAGAGCTCAGAATCCAAGGATAACACAGAGCGAACGCCGTAAATGGGCTCGAGAAGTCTCTGGGCTTGGAGATGAGTTTGATCCATTCAAGGAACCGGGTGTAGTGCAAATGAACTATGAGGGTCGGTGGGAGAACCACTTGGAATTGTATATGAATGGAAGTGGTGATCATGGGAGTATGTACTGAGCTCGACGGCGCAAGCTTTAATCTTCATTTATTAGCGCATATTACCCTGATATATGACACGATTTCTTTCTTATACTTGAACGGTTAGCTATAAGGAATGAGATATATTTCACGTAAAATTCCCCTTCACTATTCTAGAGCCTACGACGATGTTCATTTAAATTCATGGAAGTCTCTTTATGTACCGGGTCCCCTTGAAAGGTCTCATCCATCTTTCTGCTATGAATATGCACCTCAAACTGTTAAATAACCTGAATCATGCTCAAGCCCATGAATTCTCTTCTTATTCATGATTATTCCTGAGTTGTACACCTTGATATGCCTACATTTACCGGTCTTGTTTCATACAAAAAGGTGAGCTATCGGAACGAGATTAAACCATATATGCCCAAGGCACCATCGGTTGCCTTCACTGTGCGGCTATCAAACCAAAGACTTCCTATATGAGGGGTCGAACGCAAATCTTATTCGTTTTTGAATTTGGGAGATTTCCATATTTCCCCTCAAACGTAGGCTTTATAGTCTGTCAGTAAGCCGTTCTATGGCGACGGGATTAGTCTAATATGGAACAAATGCAGTATATAACGGCTGTTCTGACGTACAAGAAAGCTAAAGCTCGACAAAATTGAGATTTATTATGCAATGGTATCTGTAAATTTAGTCATAGCATCATCGAGAAGAGACCATTGGCGTATGATAATCAAATATATTCAACGAAGATACATCCTGTATATGTCTGCATTACTTATATTCATAACGTTTGTATATTACGAAGCTGCTCAATAGGAAGTAATTCATATGTAAAGTCTAGTTCATGTCCATCCAAAGATTTAAGAGCTGCAATATCCGAGTAATGCATCTTCGCTGTTTCGTCGCGGCAATGAAGGGTCAAATTGAATTTCCTGAGGACAGTAGTGTCAGACGGGGCGTCCAGTCGAGATATGATCATCTTCGAAAGGGCACCATCTTTGGTAGAGATGCAATAGTCATCGATGTCAATGGACTGAAGCAGAGGGCATAGCCCACCCGTTGGATCACCGTAAGTCATAGACTTTAAAACTTGTTCGGTAATCAAAGGAGCATCAACTGACCCACGGAGGCGTAGATGAAGCAGCGAATGACTCATTTCTTTGAGGATATCTGCCATAGTGCTCTGTGTACTATTAAAAATTCCAGGATCATATGAATAGTCATTCCACATAGACAAAGAGAAATCCGTAATCGAGCAGTTGGAACGCCGAAGAAAATCGACAAAGCTATCCTCCGTCCATGCGGTGCTGTTATGGATGTGAAGTCGACATAGTGCCGGCAGCGCTAGTACCTGGAATACAGTCCCAAAACCTAAGAACGTGACATCTAGTTCCAGGACTGCAAGATGAGGGCAAGAAATTAAGCTGTTGAGGGAGGAATCGTTGTGCATATATATTAAGCGTTCAACCTTGCAATCAGTGTTTTGTTTAGAGTGATGAAGGAGCTGGTAAAAATGTTTTAGACATAATCGATTGGCACTGAATCGAAGTGGCTGGCATGATACACACATGGATCGAAAGCCAATCATAGAATCGAATGTAGACTGGAATTCCGTAGAGTAAAGCTGTAGTTCTTCCAAAGCTTCGCCCTTCGGGGCATCTGAACCTGAACGCAACAAAGCTTGAGAGAGGTCACTGCCACTAAATCGCACTACTTTCCACTGTAAGAATAAGGCTATGCATAAATCGATGATGTTTACGACTTCTTGTCCATCACATTGAATGGCTCTACGAATCTTATCGCGATCGGGCGTGAACGAGATTTTCAGCGCCTGAGTAGATGCTCGAGTTAGCCATAGTTTGATGAATTGTGTTCGGGGATGGCAGGGACGTTTCCAATCACTCCTGCGGATTTTAATAGAAGCCCAGAGCTCAGGAGTATCCAAAGCTATATCTCTGAGAAAACTGCAGATCTGGGAGAGCAGAAGAGGTGCCTCATTGGATTTCGGAGCGATGAAAGTAACGTTAGGAAGACAATGTATAAAGATGATTTTCCAGATTTCTGCCGGGATACGCTGAGTAGGGGAGACAAGGACTTTCACGAGCAGGAAATGTCTTCTTGAGGCTAACAACTTGTTTTGTATCTCTTTGACTTCTTCCTGTATTTTCTGTAATTTTGCAGTGTCCTGCATGAGCAGCAGCTGCAACTGACGTTTTTCGACTACGGTATCAGGAACAGTGCCGCTTTCAAGTCGCCTTCGGAGAGATATTGTGTCACACTGCATCTCTGCATACTGGCTTCATAAGCATCAAATAATTGTGGTTTCTGTAAAAGAGTACTTACTGGGTACTCGATGATGAGTATAAGACAATGTGGGCGTGTCGGTTTCAGTCGTGGCCACAGTTAGATCGAATTTTGACTCCGATTCGATATTATGTAAGTGGAAACCGATCTTCTTCTCCAAACGCCCACCTTCTCAGTAGCAGTTGCAGTAAGCTCCTCAACATACCAGCTCGCAATCTCTAATATGAATATACTTAATTTACAGAGATGAACTATGATATTACAGTACTTCAGCGACTGGTGGATAGTGGATTACAACCCGACGACGCCCAGATACTAGAATTACACGAAATCGCTGCAAAAGATGCTAGTCTCATAACCAGTCTAGAGGAAGAAGAGACGCGGGCTCTTGAAAAGCTCACAGAGATACAGAAACGCGTAGAAATAGAGAAGGCTTTACTCTCACCGGTCCTGCGACTCCCAGGAGAGATCTGGATGGCAATATTTCTTGAGAGTGTTCTGCTATTCGAGAAATTCGTTACTCCACATCCAAACTCTCCGCCATTGGTCTTCAGCCAGCTCAACAGGTTTATTCGTTATTTAGCTTTGGGAACTCCCCAACTGTGGTCCTCGATCAAAATCCGCCGATGTGATTGGAAACTGAAATGCCACCCTCGGGTGGACTTCGTCCAGCTGTGGCTGTCGCGTGCAGCCAAGCAGCCATTATCGATTTACTTCTCGTCTACACGTGATAAGCCTCGCAAGCTGTTTGAATGCGATGTAAAAGGCGTAGTGGATATCATGGACTTCATCCTTACGCTCGTGCCGCGATGGAAATCGGTGCATTTTTGTGCTTCTGACCTTTCCTCTGCAGTGATCCGATTGGGTGCAAAGAAGCCACTGGGAGCTACGATGCTGGAAGACTTTGAACTGGACATCCAAGAGAAAGATAATGCTAGTTATGCCAACCACGCTTTCTTAGGCAAGTTGCGTAGTCTATGGAAACCGACTCATGGCCCCATTCGATTTTATTTCAATCGCATAACGGGTGATAACATGTTTCGGCTTCTACGCGATGCCAGTTCAGCTTCTCGACTACATGTTTGCTCAATATTCACAAAGCCTACTCGCTCAGTCGTAAAATCACCGTTCCGTCATGCCCAGCTCACGGTCCTGAAGATAGGGCTGCTATCTAGTGCAGGAAGTTATCATCCAATGAATCTAAACGACGTGTTGGGCTATCTTACGCTACCATCTCTCCGCACGCTCCACCTTGAGGGCTTCATGTATTGGCATACACAACTATTTACTGCCTTTCTTACGCGATCATCCTGCGCAATCGAAAATTT